GTAGAAGACCTCAGCAATCATTTTTAGGACTTTGCTCAGATACAGGTTCTACTTTCTTTAAATACAATGTAAAAGTATCAAAGAATCCACTGATAAATTTGCATACAAATACCCTATTCCCTTAAACCATGAAAGGACTAAGATTAAGTGCATAACAAATTAAACTCTGTCTCTAGGGAGGCAAACACCTCTAGTGTGCATCCTGCACAGTCTGTCCAATTTTATTTATTTTTTTTTTAAATTTAGTCATTACCATATTTCATTAATAACAGACCTCTTGTGGTTTGGGTTTTAGGACTGTTAAAAGGCTGGCAGTAAGCAGTAGTTGAGTCATTTGTATAGAAGAGTGCAGATAAATTATGCTGGACTTCCTATATCAATTTAATCAGCATAGCCTTTGAAGTTCAATGCTTAGTGTCATTATAATAATCAAAGTTGAAATTATATATGAAGTCTGACTGAAATATTTTACACAGCTTTCTATTATATGCTCTCTGTAATATGCAGTCTGTAATATGCTAGTCTGAGCCTGCCTGGATAATTTTTTGAATTCTCATGAGTAATATGGAAAAATAAGCAACAAGTATTGCAGACTCTACCCTGTCTTCTCCAGATTAAAGAACATAAAATCTTAATTGCTACTTCTGATCTGACTAATGCTCTCCCTGTTTCAGTGCGGTATTTCAGGTAGCAGCCAGAAACATATGCTTTGAGAAACCACACAGGGAAGTCAGAAAGAGCAACTTGTGCAGGGACAACATTTTATTTTAGTCTACTATTATTTTAAGGTTGGGCAATAACCTGAAGCAGGAAGGCTTATATTTTGTTTTTAAGATGCTTTCTAATATGACTAAGCACTTGCATTTCCTGAATAAACGGCTCATCCTCTTCTGTATTCCTCCAACCTCTTGGCTTCAGTAATGTCCGATAATAAGTTTCACTGGTGAAAGCGGTGAAGGATTCCCTTTTAACCCAACTTTATGTGCCCATCTTTCTGTTTCCCTTCAGACTGTTATGTTTCACTGGGTGAAAAAGATAACAAAGTGTGGCTAGGTTTTCTTCCTTGGACCATTCATTAGTTTGTGTATCACTAACATATCTGCAGCTTGTCCCCCAGCACTGGAGAGCTGAAATATTTTCATTAGCTTCAGGCAGATGGCTTACAAAGCAGAAAAAAGAGCGGTACCTACTCTGGCAGCCAAGGTTCTCCTGCTCCTCCTTTCCTAGGAGTCCAAGCCACTGACTGAGCTGTGCTCAGATGGAGCTCCTGGGTCCTGTGCACCCTGAGGGGGGAGGTGACTGAATCATTGCCACAAAATCTGTAAAGAAACTTGGGCACACAGGCGGGACACCTCGTTCCTTCTCATGTTGCTTGCCTGCTCTCTGCAGCAGTCAGACAGCTGTAAAACCTTTGTTGCTAAAGTTGCTGCCTTGTTTCCTCTTTAATCGGAATCCAGAAAAAAATTATATATATACTTTGACTCGCAGGGGGAGAGAGAGGACAGATAGAAAAATCTGCCTATACAGGACAATAGTTCATAGACCTTAACTCATCATCAATGCTAACAGAGAAGTTTGGGAAAGGTGCCCCAGATAGTGGAAAATCTACCGTGAACCACTGAGTTAAACCCTGAACTTGATTATTTTTTTCCTTTTGTAGGGTTTTTGTGTCCTCTTGATGAACAAAAGTGTTCTTGCTTTTATTGGTATCTTCTACGCTAAAAGAAAAAAGCAAGAAAAATGCAAAGACCATGCCAGATGGGAAGGCAAATGTAGATAGGGAGAATGAAGGACATTGAGTTAGCTTAACTATATGTTTTCCATACTTTCTTAATTTTTCTAATAGTAATACTGACTTCAAATATCCAAGTACTATAAAATATTTTGTTGTTAGTTTAGTTTCAAGGAGCAAAAATAGTTTAAGCCTGGGGTTTTGTTTCTATAGACAACAAGCACCTAGAGTCATAAACTTACCTTGAGTTTTTTGAAAGGAGATTGAGGGTATGGGGGTTTTGCTTGAAACTCTCTTCAGTTTTATTAAAAACATCTAGGATTTCTTACTAGTAAAATTAATGTCCTCGGTGATTTGCTTCAATAATGTCTCTATAGAGGGAGACAAACTAAACCCTTCTGGTTTTGTGGGGTATTAAAAATTATGCTAGAATTGTGTGTGCCAGTTCAAAACCTGGCCAAGATTTAGGAGTCTCGGTCAGCAACACCCTGAGATGGCTCACCATTCAAAGTCCCCAGAGAAATCTGCTGTTATTTGCTGCTCAGTCACAACCATTTTTGTTCAGAAACATTGTCTTTTTTTTCATCTGGTAGGTTGTACTCTGTCAGGTATGGGACTACAGAGTAAATTACAGTGATATTTTCAGTAACTAGCTGCCCATATGAGTCGCAGTATTATAATTCACTAATACGGATTACAGAAAGTCAGAACAACTGTTTTCATTGAATCTATTTCTTCATTATTTTCTATATCATAAAACAAAGTTTATCTTTTTGGTTTTCTATTTTTTTCCCCTTATCTAAAAGTATCGAGTTTTTATACCTACATATTACTGGGATGTTCACTGTCATTAAACCAGCTCTCTGAACTGCAAAGGGCCGCCAACAAGGAGCACGGGCGGTGAGTTAGCTCTTCACCAATGCAGAGATTTAAGGAGTGTACTTAAGTGCGTCTCTCTGAGTTCAGTAAGGCTGAAAACAGATCCAGAAGTAAAAGTGTACCTACGTCTTTCACCGCATAGACAGCATCTAGACCGTTACATACATGGATTCAGTTATAAATTGAACCCTCAATATAAATAAAGCTAAGAGTTTTTCCGTACTTTTTCCTAAAAATATAAGGATCTCTTTCACTGCATTAGGAAGTCTTGGGAGAACTGTAGTAGAATATTTGTAGGAGGGACCTTGTGGACTTCAATAGAAATATCGGTGTTTTTCTAATGCAGTGTATCAAGTTAAAGTAAACTTAATATTTCCTTTTCTAAACTGTTTTATCAGAGCAATTTTATTTCAACTCTTCACTGTAAACTTTTAGCGTGTCCAGAGAAGGGTGATGAAGCTGGTGAAGGGTCTGAAGCACAAGTCTGATGGGGAGCGGCTGAGGGAGCTGGGGGTGTTTAGCCTGGAGAAGAGGAGGCTGAGGGGAGACCTTGTCGCTCTCTACAATGACCTGAAAGGAGGGTGTAGCGAGGTGGGGGTCTGTCTCTTCTCCCAAGTAACAAGCGATAGGACAAAAGGAAACAGCTTCAAGTTCTGCCAGGGGAGGTTTAGATTGGATATTAGGAAGAATTTCTTCACCAAAAGGGTTGTCAAGCGTTGGAACAGAGTGTCCATGCAATTGGTGGAGTCACTCTCCCTGGAGATGTTTAAAAGATGTGTAGATGTGGTGGTTAAGGACAGGGTTTAGTGGTGGGCTTGGCAGTGCTAGGTTAATGGTTGGACTTGATGATCTCAAAGGTCTTTTCCAACCTAAATGATTCTATGATTTTATGATTCTAAGCTGGAGGAAGGCAGGGAAAAATTAAGCCATTGTAACTCCTGGCAATTCTTTTAGTATTTATGAACATCAATCTAAGTTGCTGGCATGAGCATTTCTCTGTCTGTTTGAGTTACAAATCAGCAAAAGGTCCATGTTACTGGCATGCTCTTAGGAGCTACTGGAACTAATTTTGTTTTAGATAAGCTGGGATAGATACCATGCAGCTGCACTTCTGAGAAGGGTCTGAAATTACAGGGATACTCATTTTCTCATCACCTGTTGATGCAGTGGTTCCTGACACCTTCCCTCCCCTGCATTTTATCTCCACGGGTCACCGCTGCTGATCTCTGGAACAAATGATGTGAAAAAGAAGGCAACTCACTAATTGGTGGCAGAAGTCTGAAATTTTAGTGCATTATATAGTTTCTAAATGCTGGATGCTGTCTGTGGAAAACGTGAGGTTGCTTCCTTGCATCCCAAACGCTGCACGTTCCCTCTAGCAGACCTATCTCACATTGTACCGAAGCTGCCGGTTCTTTGTCATGGTACAGATGGAAGCAGCAGCAGTGGCTGGTGGTGCCGGTCCTTGTCTCAGCACGTGCTGCCTTTCTCCCTCATGCCTGCATGCACCTTCTCTCACACAGCTGTTGCTGTTTAAAATATCTTCTACTCAAATCTGAAATTGTGTTTTGTAAGCCCAAAGCATGAAATCCAAGTAATGCTCCAATATTTGGACTAGCTATCTCCTCCATAATATTTCCTGTTTTCCCCTTTTCATTATATATTCTGGGGTCTCTACAAGGCAGAGTTATTTTGCTCCTCTACATGGATGAGAAGGTGGATGTATTCCATCTGATTGCCAGAGAAGCAAGATTTGGGGATTTTTTAAAAATTATTATTTTATTTCTGGATCAGGATAAGAGGACAATTGGGCATGTTTAGGATTTTCTGTGGGATCTCTGTCCAGTCTCCTGTTACGGCACTCTGGGAACCATCCTGCAGGGGCTGAGCCCAGTTGCAGAACTGGGGGCTGATCAAGGGGTCCATCAACAGCCCCCAACACAGCAGGTGATGACCTAGGACCAGGGGCCATCCAGGGGGCCCAACCAGGAGCAAAAGGGGATGAGACCAGGGACACAACTGGAGACAAGCTACAACACATTCAAGGGCTCCATCCAGGAAGTGTGGCTGGAGACCGGCACTCCTGTGGTGCCACTGGAGCAGGCACTGGTGACCCCAGGCTGAGCTGAAATGGGGTCCTAGGCCATGGGCAGGGGTGTGGGGAGAGCCAAGGTGGGGCTGAGCAGGGCCAGCAAGGCCTGTTAGAGCCCCCCAGGCTCCTCTCCTAGAACTCTGGGCAGGACTACGGCCATAACCAGCAGCAGGACCCTTCAGCCACAGTTCTGACTTGGTAGTGCAAAATCTTGCTTTTTATTCTTACTGCTGAACACCAGCCTGCTGCATGTTTATGAATGTGTTGCTGTTTCTCCATCCATAAAAGGAGGACGACATGTCTCATTGGGAAGGTATAGGGCTTAGTTGCTTCCTGAAACTTTGCGTAATGAAAATGTTTTCTAGGCATTGTTAATTAGTTGTTACATTATTTGTTGCTGAAGGAATGTAAAAACATCTTGAAGGAAATCTTGACACTATTGAGAAAGCAGAAAAATCTCCTTTCCTTCTCCTAGAGCAGATTTCAACTCTCATACCACCTGCGTATATCAACAGGGAATCACTTTATGCTCTTGTCCTCGATTATGTGTCCTTGGAAGATGCTACATCAGTAAGTTTTTAGGCACATTAAATTTATGCATGAAAGCATTTTTCAAAATTCAATGGTTGCACCGCTTTCAAAACAAAAGAAAAACCCTAACAAATACAATACACCCAACTGTGTACACGTTTCTTCTTGGAGAAAGAGGGTGAGCAAATAAAACACATGGTGTATTTCACTTGCACTGCTGACAGCACAGTTGGAAGGTGCTCAGAGATCATTATGAGCATCTCAAGAGAACAACCTGATAGAACAGAAAAGTGATGCACTAAAGAGCATTAGAGATTCCTACTGACCGCAGCAGACTTCAGATCAGGCAAACACAATATGTGTCTTATATGGAGACTTAACGGCAATGCTGACAAACACGTAATCTGAACCTGGATGTATCCATATGGAGAAAGTAGAGTGCCTAGGTCAGTATTTTATGAATCTTCCTGACTATATCTGTACAAAAGATTAAATTTGTATGCCTTTAAAATAGCAACACTATATACATTTATAGTTTCTGATTGCCTGGTTATTTTGAGTACTCTTCTTAAGTAACATATTTATTACTGGCATATGTCCTCTAGCTTTCCACAAAGCAGTATAAAGCAAGAACTGGATTGCAATCTAAAGTTACACATAATGTTAAAAATTTGTAGGATTTATAGAATGTAACTTTGAATCTTGACAGTCATCTCATCTGTCTTTGAAGCCAAGACAAGACCATCTATGGCTACAGCATTCCCAACACTGTTCTATGAAAAATGCAGTAATGAAGATCTCTTACCCCCTTCAGACAATCTCCTCTGCTGTCTGATTGTTCAAGCAAGCTGACTCACCTAAATTTCCTTTTGCTGTAATTTAAATCTGTTACGTTACTTTACTCATCTCCCAGTGGATCTGGAGAAAAGTCTATTGCCTCTTTTTTCTTCCTTGCCTTTCAGCACATAAAAGCCTGAGAGCATCTCCCTGCACCTTCTCCTCACTAAGCAGCCCCATTTTTTTCCCTGTCAGTCACACTTTCCAGATGTCTGATCACCCTCTGTTCTGTTGCAGGTTCCTCCCCAGGTTTTTTCTTGGTACGTTTCAGAAGGACTTTGAACTGAACCCTTTCTGCAGAGGCCCTCTTGAGGGCGAGTGGGAGGATGACTTGTGTGTCAAACCCAGGTTTCTGCAGTCCTGCCCATCACCATGTAGCCACAAAGATGAGCTCATGGGATGGCACTGAGTCACGTTCAGTTTATTCACTGTCATACCCAGCCTCCTTTCTGAGGAACTGTTACCTACTCAGTTATTTCTCCTCTTGGCCTTCTGCAGTTTGCCACAAACATGATGCTCTATGCTTGTTGGTACTGAATTGTGCTCTATTGTCTGAATTCTGCCATAGTTGGTCAAAATCTTTTTAATCTTATCTCCTGAAGTGCTTACAACTTGGCATTGTCTGCAAATTAAAGAAAGGTGCAAGTCACAAATGACTTGAAATACCAAGTCTTTCAATGATACTGGAAAACCCTAATCAATGTGTCTTCTGCACCGGTTGTGAGTCCTTGACAGCTATTCTTTCATTACAACTATCCAGCTGGCTGTGCACTCACTTTCCTGCACTTTCAACAAAACCAGGTTTTCCTAGCTCATTTATGAGTATCTCACAATGTCAAAAGGCTTGCTGAGATACAAAGAGATGATATCTACTGCTTTTTCCCTGTCCACAAGGCTTCTTAGCCTATCGGAGAAGAAAAAGAAGATGAATTCATTACCGTTTGTCCTTGACAAGCCCATGATGATTGCTGGTTATGACCATATAAATTTGAAGTGCTAATGGGCAGACTGCGTGATTATCGGTTCTTGGGTTTATTTTGTTCTTAAATCTCACATTCTAGCTAGAAATTCTTTGCATTGCCTTCCTGCTTTGAAAAGGCATAAACTGTGCTTGCTCTTTCCCCGTCTTGTGAACTCAGTCTATTCTCAACAGTTTTTCAAAGATCATTGCTAACAGATCTGGTATCAGCTAAACTTGATGTAATTTGCCTATCAGAAAGCTTTTATCTTACCCAAGAATTTCTCCAGCCTGTTATGTCTTATAATAGCCTGTTTTCCTACACCTTTTTGTTGCTGTTAGTAACCTGTGATCAGATTAGGATGACTTTGAAGTGGGAACCAAAGCAATAAATATCCATCTTTCCCAGCATACTCTGTTATCAGCTTTCTTCTCTCCATTTTCTTGTTCATCAGTTATCTTCCTAGTTCTGCAGAATAATCTTTTAGCCAGGCTGCATTATTTCATGCTGTGCAATCTTCTTTTCTGCAATTAGCCCTCTTCACTTCAAAGTGAGATGAGCATTTTGTTCAGATTTGTTTTAGAATATAGCTCTTGGCTACCTCTGCGTTCCTCTCATAGCTGATACTTGACAATCCGCTTCTACCAAATCACTTGATACTATATTCTTGCGTTAATTCACTTACTGCGTTTCATAGCCAGGGCCTCAGTGTATGTGAATGTCTCTCTGCCGAATGACACAGGAACAGGTGCATCAGACATTGGGCTCACATTGTCACCTGCTCCTGTTACCCCAAGGCCTCCTGGTTTAGCAGCTCATGTGAATCAACTCATCACTCACGGACTCTTAAAATTCAGCCTCTTGCAGCAAATCTGCTCCTCTTTGATCATCTAGCAATTTCACAGGGCCTGTCCCAAATTCCAGCTGTGCCATGCTAGTAATCCTTGACTACAGCACTCATTTGTAATAATATCAAAAATATTGTTTTTAATTTATTTTAATTTTTGCAACTGAACAAACTGAAGTGGATGTGCTAACATTTTTTTATGATCTGAAAGGGCGGCGGTAACTTTTCTGATGGTGTGGGAGAGATTTGGAATGAAAAGGGGTAATCCAGTTCTGTTTTGTTTTTCCTGCCGCCACTTGGGGAAGAAATAAGTCCTGTTTACACAAAACTCAGATAAACTAATTGCAGTGTTAGTTAAATACTACAGTCGTACAGTTGGAAAACAGCCTCTGCCATAGTTGGCATGGACTGTGGTGGGTATATGCTGCCCACAGAATTTTCATAGATTACTTTCACAGCTGGACCCTTTTCCTTTTTTCCTTTCTGTAGATTATCAATTCAGTGGTATTGCTGATCCTGCTGAGCGCCCTGACCGACCCTGACCAGTACCACCTAACCAGTGCTGAATTAGGAGGTGAATTTGAATTTATGGATGATGCCAGTAAGTACAAACTGCCTAAATATTAGCACTCATCACTCCAGCATTTGTGTAACTGTCCTATCAATAGTTAGTGTCCTTTAATTATTGCTTCACCTTAGTGTCTTACGGATGCATTTTTATTGTGAAAGGTGTATTCATGGCACAGTTCAAACTGGTTACCTAGTAGTAACCTTATCTGCTACCTATGAGTAATCCATCAGCTCTGCTGTGTCCTGGCTTGGCAGGGGCAGAGCCAACCCTTGACATGGAGATGTTATCCCTGAGCATGATGCTGAAAGCCCCAGGGGGATTTTGCAAGACACAGGGAGACACAGAGTCTCTGCACCTCCCAACACCAAGTTCCGCAGTGCCTGCACATGCGTAGGAACCCATACTGCTATTTATGTAGCTGGTTGAATGTGTTTGTTCATGTTATACATATTTATGCACCCGCCATGTGCACGGGTCATGTCTTGCACAAACCTGTTGTAATAGATGCAAGTGTAAATATTAACTGTGTAGTCATAGGCATGTTAGTGATAACACAGGGCTGCTTCCTTCTCTCACCAAAGAGCATCATAGGAAATCTTCAGTACAGTTTCAGGATAAGCCAGGACATTTATGTCTCCTGCAAAAACCTCCTTTGCAAATGTTTCTTTCATCCATGACTGTTTCAAATTATTTTGTGATGTTTGGTTTGTTGATTTGCTTTAACTGTTTAATTCGTATCTAGAAAAGTTTTCCCTCAATGTGATTTTGATAAAAATGTCTGTTTATTTTCATTTCCACCTACAAGATTGTTACGTTCAACATTTCTCACAGTAATCTGAAACAAGGTCTCCTGCTAGTTGCACTGGTGTCTTGCTGCTCAGAACCACATCCATCCACAGCAAAAGGCTCCAAGTCCTTTCCTCGTTCCTACTGAAGTTAATAAAAATATGAGCAGGAAAATGAGTAACCCCACACGTGAGAAAAATAATTGCACCCATGGTGTGTCAGAGCTGCTGGGTATCAGTTAAGGGGTGCTTATTTCCACAAAGTCTTTAGTGCAGATATGACTTGAGGGTCTACATTTAATTAATAATAAGGGGGAATTGCTACTTTATGGTGTCTTCATTGAAAAACCACCTACAATTTCTCACTAAAAATCTTCTTATATAACTGGATTTAAGAAAGTAAGGACCGTAGTAGATACAGATGGGCTCCTAGCTGTTTCTGACATATTAAAACTGACTGCCTTGTCCTAATTCTCAGAGATTAACCTTGGTAATGACTGTCTGTCAGTGTGGTTTTATATAGCCAACATCAGAGGCCTGCCAGTGCCCAAGGCTTTAAAATTGTAATTCTGTTTTGTAATGCAATAGCTGTCAGATCAAGTACATTGGGGATTTCCATCTACACTTGCAAATTGTATTTTCTATATTTTTTATCAAGGCTTCTGAAGTGAACCCTGCAAGACTGCAAAAGGATGGCTTGTGGGCCAAGCAACCTCATTTCCATTCAGTAAAGGGAACATTTCACAGGCAGTTAAATTACGAATGAACATTTGAATTAATGTCTCCTTTTATTCTTTGACTCCCTCCAGTTTAATGCCTTACTGAGTAAAGGCAGCTGAATCAAGCTACTGGCTTTTACAGTTACTGGAAGTAGCTGGCAGGAGATGATTTTTTTTTTTTTCCTTTTTTTCTTTAAGTATGAGTATATTTGTTCAAATCTGAGAAAATGTTTTCTCATGAGATAAAACATCAGACAAACTTCCATATACTCTTCTTTTGTCCTACTTTATTTGTCTTTTTTGAAGAAGTGCTTCCCAGGTTAGCTGCATGTGCTGAAATTCTTAGATGTGAAACCATATGTACGACATACAGGAAGATGTATCAATTTTTATGCTAATGAAGGTCCCAAAGTTGTTATCTATAAGTACCTGTGTTGACAAATAACAATGATGGAAATACTAGTAGCCATTATTCTCATTACTACTTTTGATGCTCCTATCAATAACAAACAACAAAAAAATGCAGACACAGAGTTCACATGTAAAATTGTCACTCCCTTTCCCTCCCTCCTCAAATAGGCTCCTTCATAAAAGATCAGAAAATATCATTGGGAAATAAACTTATCAGATGAGTCACAGTAGTAGAATTATGGCTAACCTGAAGTTAATGAAGGATTTCCCTTGACTTCCAAGAAACCAGGATTCCCTCAGTATTCGTATTCATATTTATTTCTGGCTGTGCTCAGGCCTGGTTTATGAAGAATTTTCAGTTTTCTGTTCCGGCAGTGGGAAAAATTCCTGCCACGTGCAGAGCCAGAGCCAGTCTAGTGCAATCTGCTTGAAAATGCCAATGCAGCATCAGTTCTTCTGCGAATAGCTGCTCAGCCTTAATTTCAAGATTTAGCATGGTTACCAGAGGCTCCAAAATGCCTGTTGCATTAAGCAGATAAACGATTTACCCGAGCACTTAGAAAAAGCTGTAGGTCATAGCTTTTCCCTTCTATTCTAGAAAAGGAAACGAGGGGGAGCAAGGTCTGCCAGGACCTGCCATGCGGCAGATGGTGGTACTGGAAGACACCAATGTGTGTGGTTTGGCTGGCTCTCCAAGATGTACATCTGGGAGCCGAGGAAAACTCCGGGCTTCCTCCTGTGCTGGATATTCAGCTGAGCCCATTTAGTCTCATCTTTCTTTTTATTATTTCCTTAGGGCCTAAGGGAGTTTATGAACTAGAAGCTGGACTAGGAAAAATTAGAAATGTGCGAGCTGCCCAGTGTAATACTGCTGCTGTTAAAAAACTAATAATCTCTGGGCAGGAGGTGGAAAAGCCCTATAAATCATTTTGACTTCCCAAAGGGCTTCACCTGAGCCTCCTGCTCAGCTTCTCCAGGTACACAGACCATGATTTTGACATGTCAACAGCCTGAACAACTACCGAGAGTTGCTTGGTTTTATTCGCTGCCTTCACAGTGTCATGGATGCCTGTGATACTTTGTAAGCTGTATGACAACAAGGACTGAAATCCTATGTGTGCCCTGTGGAAACTGAGGGGAACTTTGACACTGATGTCAGGCCAAAATCCGCCTGTGTCCCTGCCCTGGGACATGCAGATCAGACAAGCAGAGGTCTCAGGGCAGAGCAGGGTAATATGATGGTCTCTCTGCCAAACCAGGGCTTAAAAAGATTAATTCAAATAGAAAATTTTTAATAAAGAAACCTACAGGCAGCAGGCTTGGACTTCTGTTGGAGGGAAAATGGAAGTGATAGAGTAGGTACCCTTCCTGCCTCAGTCCATCAACACCACCGATGCAGCATGAGCCCCACATCACAGGGAGGGAGAAAAAACTAGATCCCTGTCCCACCATAACATACTCAGGGCTGCATCTTCCCCTCTAGCCTTATCCTCTGAAGTAAATAAGCTGACCATGAAGGTGCAGAAAACTCTTTCCTTCTCATTGGCCTCATTCCTTTGCTGGAGAGAAAGTGCCACCACCGCATGTGTTCTGACCCAGGAGGCTGTACAGTGGCTGGCAGCCAAGGCACCAAACTTGCACAAGCAGCTGGGAGGAGAGAGCAAGGCAGTAATCCTTAGCTGGCAGTAAGGAGGCCAGGCTGCTGGATAAGTAAGGCTAGGAGGGTGGGCAAAACTGTCTGAGGATTGCAGGCTGCTAATTAGCAGCTTTCTGGCTCCTGCTGTTGGAGCTGTGAGCCAGCGATTAACTCCAGGGCCAGGCCAGGTGATGGAGAATTTGAGGTCTCCATCACTCCACACAAATCCTGGCTCAGGGACTGGGCTCGCTGGCTGCTCCTCCCTGTCCCCACAGCACCCACCACCAGCCTCTTCTGCCAGAGGAGAGGGGAAGGCAAGGAAATGCTTGTGAGATGGGTTCGAGGGAGCTCCAGCTGTAGAGCCTGCCATGCACGCAAGCACCCCATGGCAGGAGCTCTGTCCAGCCCCAGCAACATCTTCTCCATAATGCAGCAAGAAGATAGGATCTCACTGAAAGGTACAAGAGGAAAAAAACTCAACTAGTTTCTTTAAAGCCAGGCAGAAAACTCAAAAAGCCGTCTAGGATAATAGGCTGTCTAACCACTGCAGTGGTCCAAGTAGAGCCCTTCTAGTCATGAGTGCCACGGAAAGTACGGCATGGCTGGAAAAAAAATTCACACACCCCTATTAGCTTCTCATTTAATGTGCTACATATCTAATTTCATTCTGATTAATTGAAGCTGACACAGCTCAAAAAACCCAATGAAGCCTTAAATGAGAAAGAACCAGCTTGAGCCAACTAGGACTTGGCTTGGTGGAGCACAGCTAGAGAGACACCAGAGACGGGGAGCATGAATGTGTCAGACAAGAGCTTCAATGTCAAGTTTATCGCAGTTTGCTAGGCTCTGGCTCTGAACCAATACTGCCGTGGTCACGAGCAAAGCGAGGCCTGTGACTGCTGCATCTGCTGCAAATGACAATGACAGCAGCTTCCCCTTGGATACAGTGAGTAGGTGACTGGGGTTAAGAATGGATGGAATAAATATATGAGCAGTGCCTTCAAATGGATGGTTAAAATAAAAATATTGATCCAAGAGCCTCCTTTACAAGAGGTTCAATTGAGGTTAGTGGCTACAGGCAGTTGTTTCCACTTCTCTTCTTTCATTACCTCAATTGTACCTGGTCTATTCAAAATCATTTTGGTTTCACAAGATGCATGTGGGCAGCTGGAGTAAATGACCACACAGTTAAGGGTGTTTGAAGAGGCTGTAGTACCTTTTATTAGTGGAGGTTTGTTTTGTCAGCACTTCTTCCTCTTGAGGGCAGAATTCAGATCGCCTCTAACAGACACAGCACAGCCTTACAGCTCCTAAAAAGCTGGAGACTGGTCGTGGCAAGGCAGCTCAGACGCCTGTGCTGGATGTCCAGATTTTCTATACAAAGAAGAGAAGGAGGTGCCGATGAAGAGCAATTTGGGATGAAGAGCAATTTGGGATGCGCTGAGATGTCATCCCCTCCTGAATTATGAGCAGGGAGCCCAGGTGCCTCCTGATGGCATTTCCAAGCACCCAGAAGCCAAGCTGCATAAAGCCACCGGCTAGGAAGCAGTGAGCACAGCTAAGCTCAGCGCTGGGTGCTGGTGCCTCTCCTGGGTGAGACCTGCTCGTTTTGACAATAAGAGAAAGATTCAAGCATTTGCACTACGAGTAAGGACATCTGGACTACAGTGGTTTAAATGTGCTTCTCCAAGTGCCCAGGAAAGAGGCCCCATCCATTAAATTAGGAAGTAGCCTGCAATAGGGCTTCTTCTGTTGCATTTAAGTTCCTATGCAATCACAAGGACAAAGTTGGGGGGGGACGGAGAGAGAGCAAAAGCCCTGAAACCCAGGACGCAGGCAGTGTCCTGGAAAAGGGGAGGCTTGGGTTCCTGAGTCCTTAATCCTGCCGCTGGTAGGCACGGTACCCAAGGAGCCTGCAGCCCAATGTACTTAAGCACCCTGTGGAGATGCCCTCACCAGCCAGCAACAGTCTCCTCTTGCTTATTTTTCCACCAGCTTCACAAGTCTCAGGTTCCTCTCTGCATCAAGGGCCAGCAGAAACGTGGATTAGTGCCAGCAGGCGCTCTGTGCTAGTGCAAGGTTTACGTTCCCTCAGGCAGAGGAGGATCAAGGACTGGGTCCTTTGTCTTCTACATGGATGATTGTACTGGTAGGCTGGAAAAAATGACAGGCAGGACTTAGTGTCTGTCATGCCTGTTCAGCCATGACCCGGGTGAACCTGCACTGCTACCTGGTGGTGGTAGGTGAGACCTCTCCACAGCTACCAGATCAAGACCCTTCAGGGACTTTGATGAAGGCTTCAGGGCACCTACCCAGAATCTGATTTTGCTGCAGCCATGGAGGTGGAGAGATTGTCCCATACTGTGGGATGCTCTTCATCATGTGTTGGACTTAGATGTTGTGGCAACTCTGTGATCAAATGGAGGCATCTTCACACTTTGAATGCCTCTGAAATCAGTCAGTGACGGGTAGTGAACAGCCTTAACACTGTCATGTATTTGTGTGTCTCAAGTCCACCAAATGTCTCATCAAGGCCGGTAGTTTAGATGCACCAGGTGACAGCAATATGAACAGCAGGTACCTCACAGATACCGACAGAGGTGGGATCTCTGAAGTCCTGTCCCATATAACTCATGTCCTCTCTCCTCTTTGTGCACTGGCTTAGCCTCGGAAAAGTAGTTGCAATGTTCAGTTGCACTCCCAAACTCGCTATAGGGTTGGCTTCAGAAATACACTTCTGGTATCCTGACTATGGCTTGTAATGATATCAAGGCACATGCATATGAAAAGACCAAACATATGTAATTTTTTCACCCAGGATCTCCTTCCAGCTGTTTGTGGTTTAGAAACTTCTTAAATCTAATGAAAAGTTAATTGAAAGCTGAATGGCAATAAAAGAAAAAGATAGGAGTCCTGTAATTACTCCAATCAAAACCTTAAAGAATATTTTCCTTCCTTTACTACTTCACCTTTCCTGACAGTTATACATCCCCATTAATAAGCTGTATATCTCTGTAGTATTCTTGGTTGAAATGAAAATTCCCAAGATGTTATTTCTGCTCTGATGCCTCTCTCCACCTATTTTGCTTTTAAAAATGATTTCTCCTTTTCCGGATTTTTTAGAGATACATGAGCAATGGCATACAGCAGCTATTAGTGCAAAAACAAGCTTTAGTGCAGAAAAGCAGACACTTTCTGACTACAGATGTCATCATCACCAGCAAAATAGTCTTCTTGTCAAGACTGCTCCTGATTTTTGAAAGTCCTCAGAAAAATTAAGCCATTCATGGCATCTCCACAGCCTCATAGAGGCTGCAGAGGCTTGCGCAGTGTAATCACTGTCTGTGCTTCCCATATTTAGGAGGTTTCCCACAAGAGCCAGAGATTTCCTCCAGCAATGGCTGAGTGAACCACCCAACCCCATCTCTACCTGTTTCCCACCGTGCCCTTCAAGATGCTCTGCATGAGGTAGATGGCTCTGAACCAAGCTCTGAATTTATCTGCAATCGTTTTAATCTGTTTCTTTTCCAGATATGTGCATTGCCACAGCGATTTCTCTTCTTATGATTCTGATCTGTGCAATGGCTACATATGGCGCATATAAGGTAATTCATTATATTCAGTGAAAGCATGAATCAAGTGAACTATACAGCTCTGTAGAAACAAAATTACGAAAATTGCTTTCTAACAATTTCTTCTCTAGTTGTTTAGCTGAAAACTGAGAGGGAAAAAAAAAGTCAAGGAGGCAGCAGAACTGATTGCTTATATCAGTGGTACCCCAGGGCCCTGTGCTGCAGGCAGGAAGACTGCCCGGTTGTGTTCACTGTCTGCCATTTCAAATATGAATAAGCTCTGGGCAAACTGTGAATTCAGAGAACTGAATCTTGTACCTAGCTGAGTTAAGGGAATTTTTTCCCATTCACCTCCAAAGCCTGTGGTTTGTCCCAGTATTAATCCTATTAATTAGAGGGGAAAAGTATTGCGTGGTTTCTAAATGTCCTAGTATAATGAGTTGTGGGACTTACACTACACATATTACTGCAGTTCAGCAGCCAAGCTGGCTTGGCCAACCCCTTTGGCTGAATGTCATATTTCTTTTGTCTGATTTAACATGGCATTGTGTCAAATATTCCTTAGATTTTAGTACAGAAAGACATATACCCTTCTATTTTAACTTGTGGCTGAGGAGTTTTTGTTTTATTTCCTTTTTAGCAACATGCAGCTTGGATCATCCCTTTCTTCTGTTACCAGATCTTCGACTTTGCTCTCAACACGTTGGTTGCCATCAGTGTACTTGTCTATCCCAGCACAATTCAGGACTACCTCCGCCAGCTGGTAAATCACTTGATGTTCACAAGCTTTTGGGGGCTTTGGGGGGGGAAAAACTGTGCAAGATGCACTGCTTGTCCTGTATTTCTAGCCAACGGTTTCCTGTTGACTTCCTATGCAGTCCTTGAAAAGGCCTCTCAGTCCTTGCTAGTCTGTATTCAACATCCTTGCAAGGTTACATTACTAACTTATTACAATATTTGTGCAAAGCTCTGGAGTTTTGCAATGTCGTGGAAGCTCTCAGCACCACTTCATTTAGAATGAGACTCATATTGCAACACACAGATAATAAATAATTGCTTTTGGATTCAGAGTTATTGTGTTCATATTCAGTGGCTTATTTTTGGTGCTATTTCAAGGATGTTTTGTTGCTCCTTTTAATGTATTTGGTGGCTTTAACACAGACTTCATTAGGCAGGAGTTTGATTCAGTTTGGTTTTGCTAGAAAATATTTTTGGATTCTGTCTTAGGGGCAATTAGAGGCTCCCTTCTTGCCATGGTCTACTTTGGCCAAACATCCATAGCCAGTATTGTGTATGCTTACAAGACATAATTGCAACCACCTAAAGTAAAGACAAGAGCCCACCAGCCTCTGTCTCATCACAGGACCACGTGCCATGTCCGGCAGCGTTCAGGTGGAGTTGCAGAGCTCTGGAGAAGCCAATGCTGCAGCTGCCTCTGAAAATCTGCCTTGAGAACCTGAATACAGATTAGCTTGGCTGTGAACTTTGTTATGTGAATGGAAAACTAGCTAAGGCAGTATAAATAACAGGTAATGAGAAACAGCAGGCAGATAAGTAGCCACACAAATCTGCGGGAAGAGGCAACGTGTCAAGCCAGCAGGAGCTAGGATGTGTCAGGGGCCTGTTATCCTTTGCCTTGTTTAATGCCCGCCTGCGTTCACAGCCAAGGGTACACTGGAAGAGGAATAATTCAAATGATTCTCAGAGGTACGAGTGGAAAAGAGCAAATTACCGCCATAGCTTGGCAAGTGCTTGATGCTGGCACTGCCACTGGCTGCAGCCCTCCTGCCCATCCTTCGCCTGCAGTTCCTCACTTCTGCATCCGTGACAGCCCTGCTCTCGTGACAGCATGAGCGTCTGTGTGGCTGCAGGAACAAGCCCCCTTCCAGAGCATGAGCCGTAAACAGGTTTTACTCAGTTTTAGTCACTGTGCAAGAACGTGAGGGGGACAGGAGAAGGCTGGGAGCTGTGCACAAAAATACCCCTGCTTTTCTGCTGAAAACCTGGTGCCACGTCTGGAACCGGCTCACTAGAGAGGCAAAGAGCAGCTGATTCTCTCAAAATGTCTGCTAAAACAACACTGTCGTTCCTACAGATAAATAATAGACCTTTCTGTAGCAGAAATACAAGGAGCAGGCCTTGGAAGGTATTGGGAATGGTGCAGCAGAGCACTTTCTGAGCCGCGTTGCTGCTCTGGAGCATTAAAATCTCTGATTGCACACATCTTTGTCTTACTGTTGTAAATCATTTTCCGGACTGGTAATGAAATGCTGCAGGACTTCAGGAGTGCTAAACTGTCAGTGCTCAAAAGGGCAAGGGGGATTTCCAGGATAATTATAGGCTGATTAGCCTGACATTGCTACCAAGCAGAATAATAACAGAAGAACTGAGAAGAAAGTCAATTGATAAAGGATTAGACCAGAGGAATATGATTAATGAGTGCCAGCACGGTTTCACGGAAAATCAGTCCTGCAGGCAAACTCATTTTCTTTCACTGACAAGATTACTGGCTTTGTCAATAAAGATGGGCAGGGGCATAACAGACTTTTGTGAGATGTTTGACTTCACAGAATGATGCTTAGAGCAACAATAAAGCATTAGATCGATAAAGGATGTATCAAATGGATTAGGAGAGGTTAGCTGGCAGACTGCAAAGGGTTGTGGTCAAGCCGACCATCTGCCAATGAGTTTCTATTTTGGGTAGGGGAAGGTCTCCAGGAATCGGCAGTAGATTTCATGCTCTTCCTGACTTCCATTAATAACCCAAAAGACTGTTCATGAAGACTAATGTCAGCCTTGGGAGAGCTTCCCCAGGCTCACTGTCTAGAGGGATTGAGTCCTCTAGCAGGAGGCTGCAAGCAGGAGCCTAACCCAGCTGTTCTGTGTCAAACCCTGCATTGCCCAAAGTGAACACATCTCTGCGTGTCCTACAGGCAGTACTCGTGACTTTTCTCAGCAAAATCACTTCTAATAAAACTCACGGCTGACACAGAGATTAATGAAGAAGTAAATAACACTAAGGACGGGGCCATTAATCAGAGTGAGCTCGACTGAGAACCTGAGTTCATTCGTTAATGTGTGCTACATTGCTATATGCAAAGAAACGTAAAAGCATGAGGAATACAGATGAGCATACAGTATGACAACTGTACCTGGGATGCAGTGACCCTGTAAGCAGTCTAGGGAACTAAGTGCCAAAACAAGAGTCCCCAGGTTTTTTCACTGTTTGCAAAAGCTGCTCATGGGATTTGTGGACAGAAAAACTCAGCAATGAATAGTAATGGACAGACTTCCCTTCTCAGTTGGTGACATAGGTTTCATTTGTCTATTTATGGTGTCTAGTTGTAAAGAACAATGCTTAGAAGTCAGAGAACATGCACAAAATCTATATAAAAGCTGGATACGTTGTAGTATGATGAGAGACAATCAGCTTTTCCTGCTTCGTTTGCCGAGAGAGGAGACCAAGAAGTGATGCATTAGAGTTTTCATATGTAGAATACTGAGGTATTAAAAGGCTGTTTAAATTAGATGTGAGGCATAATGATAATGAGTAGCTAAAAGCTAGTCCAAGTTACGTTCATTTAGAAACAAGGAGTCATTTCTATTTTATCTCTCATGGTGGAGATTAGTGATTGGCAAAAACTGCCAAGAGCTGTGATGAATTTTGTACAGTTAATGTCAGCTGTTCAACAAAGTTTTGAACTTGTTTTGAAGCTGTTCTGCATCTGTTTTGAAGCTGTTTATGCCTCCGGTGTCTTAGCTGTGGTCCCAAGCACAAGTGGCTCCGCAGGAACCCCTTGTACCCTTACCTGGAAGGGCCACATCAGTTGGCAAAAGGTTGTTGCGTTTGGTTCGGAGCAAAAACACTCTGTCTGAGGGGGCAAAAGCAAAAGGGAGAGGTGAAGATCACATCCACTGGTATCAGATACTCAGGCACACAGCAAAATGAAACTAAAAATAAGCTTTTCAAATTTTTAGCAATAATACCATCAATGCAGTGCTAACACTCAAATATTGTTAAACAGGCTTGTATCCATGGACCTGTTTCCTTACCTTTTAATAATACTCACGGTAGATAAGTTTGTCATCTCAAGCACCGCTTTTGGAACAAGACTGCAGTTAAATGCCTTGTCCCTGTAGGTGAGCCCTGAGCCATGCCAGTTGGGTGTGATCCCTCCTGATGATTTATAAATAAGCCCTAGAGTCATCTTGCCCTCACTCTGTTTGCAGAGGTCTGCCAAGGGAGGCAGAAAGCGAGGGTTGTGTTTCTTCCTGGCATTCTTATACTTTTTGTTCCTCTAAAACTGCTTTGAATTTGAGGAATGATGTTTTAGGAAGCGCAGCTCCATAAGAGAAATGAAAAATCCCAATCATTCTTCAAATCCATTATTGAATATCTGGAAGAAGGTATGCATTAGGTAATGGAATATATTTGGCAGTCTCGGAAGAATGTCTTTTGCTCTGAGGTGAAAACCTCATGTTTTTAACCATTTCTACTTCCGTATGCTAGTATCTGGAATTATGTTGCCTATTCACTTTGGTGCACATCTGCCAGATTTCAGTCTATCAGTGATGAGTTGCAAGCTTCTGTGAAACCCTCCATATACTTTCAGCATGATGATAAATGAGTACCTATTAATGGCCTAGGCAGAGCCCTACCTGAAAATGTTGTAATAGTAAAATGCAGAACATTGTGTTCACAGGGTATTTGGTAATGTCAGCCTCCACCAGCGGCTTCTTTCGGAGGCGCGAGTGTCTTTGGAAACTTTTTGTTGCCTTTTAATACCTAGTTGCACAGAGGTGTGCCACTTAATTCCCATAAATTGCAAGAGCATCTCAGCATGAAGAGTCATGTAAAATAAGAAGACGTTACAAATCTAGCATTTGAAATATTGTATGGCAATCACATGTGATAAAACTCTCTAAGGGTTACGTTGGACATCTTGATCATTATTACTGTCAGTGGAAAAACAAAAATCTTCATATACAGTAAATCCAGCATGTGTAAAATAAAAATAATTTTGGTTCTTGGAGCAGTAGTGTTCTAAAGCAGTTTGACCTGAGGCACATTTCTTTTCTTTAGCCTCACTAAACCTTTGATATATGGGCTTTCTAACGCCTTCAAATTAAACACTTCATCTTCTATCATAACAGTATATGAAATGAATTGAGGCAGAGGTGCAGAGCAGGCTAGTCTGCAACTGAGTTATGTAAACTTGTTTTTTATTAGATACAGCACTATTACAGTTCATCTAAAGAAAAATTCAAAGTATATTAAATAGCTTTACTATGAGACTACCTGCAATGCTAACAATTCAGGTGGTATCAATCATGCTTTAAATCCAAAGGGAAACATCTAGAGAACATAAAAGAGATTAAACCTGAAGAAATTTTTCCTATAAACTAAAGCTTGAAAAAAGAGTACAGTTTCTGACATTTTTAATGCCACTTTATAATTCCAAAGAAGTACCACTAACTTCATAGCAGAGCTTTAAAAATTCTACAGACACATTACTGTTTTCTTTCAATTTTGTAAGATTCTGATACTCAGAGGATTGTAATTGTTGAATGAGAATCCACACCATCTTTTAAAGGGGATTTTTTGTGGTCCAAGGGGAAGGAAAACTTGAAAGGTTATGCAAGTAGGCTGAGGGAATGAGAAAGGGCTTCAGCACTCTAAAAAAAGATTTTTTATTCTTCTTGTGCATTTGTACAATATTGATGCATTAGGAATATACCCTCCATGCAAGTTTTAGATTCTTTTTGAGTGTCTAATAGAGCTTTGCTATGCATAAACAGTAATTTTTTAAAAATCAAAAGTTTACCAGGTATATTATTATGCATGCAGCCCTCTCCATGTCCATGACAAGGTTATAAATGACACTTTAATTATGGCTTTAACATGCCAGTGCCACACCACTACAACTACCTCTTGTTTGTATAGAAAATTTCATCATGCCCTGCTGCAGAATCACTCCTGTGATTTCCAGTGGTGGGCTTGGGTTTTTCCCCCCCCAGCCATATTTCAGTCTCAGCTTCATCAAACCTCACACAACACTTGACACTGAGCTTTTCCCAGAAGTTGCAGCACTGAGCCCGGTGTCTGGGGCCTTCCCAGCAGCAGGATTTCAACTCCTGATCTCCCCAAGGAGAACAAACCCCCAGCACAGGAGCAGAATTTTTTTTCCTACCTCAGTGTTTGAGCTTATAGCTGCAGTCGGTGGAGAGCAATGGGTATTAGATTCATCTGAACCACTGTTGCTACCCATTTTCCGAGGGAGTGAATGATATTTTGGGAGTGGCTGCTGCCATGGGAGGTTCCCAAGGGCCTCCTGATGACACCAGCTCCATGATGGTGCCTGCACCAGGTGAGCCTGGAGCCAGCCGAGATGCTTCCCACCATCTTTCCTGCTTCTTTGCCAAACGCTGCAGGTGTTATAAATTGCTTTTCCTACTGCACTGAAGGGGTTTGTAGTTGTAAGTCAAGATCAGACTGCTTGTAGGCCAGCCCAGGCAAGTCAGCATTAAACATCTTTTGGTTGGCAGGTGACACCGACCCGGTTAGCAAACAAAGAGAGTTTCTTCCATGCTGACACGATGCCCCTGGGCTATTCATCGCAGCCCTGAAAGCTTTCAGTTTTCACACCCCTCACCAAGATCTCCCAGGCACCTGTGGGTGGGGGTGACCCCCGCATGGGTGCAGCACCCACTGCCTTGCTGAGGCTTGCTTACACCTCACAGCTCTTCAAGACAGAGACCCAGAAAGCTGAGCCTGAAGGGGACAAACCACAGCATTTGCTCCTCACGTGCTCTCCTGGCTTGCTGCTTTCGGTGCTGAATTATTGTCCTTTCACCTGAAACATCGCTGATGTAAGGGAGGGCCAGGCGCTGCTCAGCAGCATGTGCTGCACCCTGACTTGGACAGGGCTCTTGGTTCCAGCAGATGTTGCTGCTCTTCAAGGTAGCGGGAAATTTCTTGGTTGTTTTGCTGCCCTTCTCTTACCCCTTTGCAAATCCCAGTTGAGTTGACATCTGGAAGCAGACCATTAGGTTATGGCCAAGATCCCAGCATGCAGTCATCCAGTCTTTGACCGGCGACCGCTTCCCAAAAACCAGAGTGTAGGAGGACCAAAGCCTCACTATGGATTTTTTATTACATTCACAAACTAGTGTGACTATTTTTTTAATGGTAGGTCAGTACTAAAAATATTGATTTGGGGCAGTTTTACTGTAACTGTCCTTAACTGACTGAACTTTCTAACCATACGCATGGCCTCCCTCCTGCAAGCAAGAGGGCAAGCTGTGGCATTAATACTTAAATTTTCTGCCTATAAGGTTTGCGTTTAATTTTCAGTGCATCTTTTCTTGGCATATACTCTTGCTTTCTTGGTTTCTGGGTGACTGCAGCCACTATATTTAGCAATGAACTTCTGTGGAAAAAAAAAAAAAGCATAACTTATTGAATTATAGCAAGATGATTTCCAACAAAAGCTGTACCTCGACAAAGAAGATAACATGATAAAAACTTCAGCCATGAAATTCAGTACAGGAACAGAAACATTGCTGTCAAGAAGCAGAAAATGTGCTTATGTAACATTTATCTGCAAACGGCTACAGCTGCTGTTGATGTTAACCACTCTGAACAGTTCATGGAAATGCTAAATAAAGAGCTATTCTCACTAGCAGCTGTCCAAAAAAAGGGTAGTTTCCTGATGCGCTGGGCTGAGTGCTGTTATAAGGGGTATTAAGAGGTTACTCTGGATTTACACCATCATCGCCAAGAATACAGTTATAGCTCTGTCTAGTTAATTGTCCTGACAAGGATGCAGAGCTGGCCTGGTTAAGTAATTAGACCTGTAAGGGAAAAGAGGGTTGTGTGTGGAAGGAGCTAATGCATTCAGTTATACCAATCCACTGTTGCAGCGGAGCTGTCTTCTGCGGAGAACAGCTCTGTCTGTGAACAATGGTTTATTCTAACTGAAACAGGAACTTATGCCTTGCAATATTTCAAAATGACTTGGAACATTCATTTTAAAGGATGTGTTTTCTTTAAGCAATAACAGATACAGTAAAACATTTTTAGAGGTGGTTGTTCAGCCAGTGATCCTAAAGTGTTTCACAATTGTAAATCACTAGGTCCTATGCTAAGTAGGAAGATTATTTTTGTCACTTCTGTTTCCTGTGTGAGATAACAGAAGGACCTGGACCACGTTTCGATTTGAAATCATTACCTTGCTCCTCTGTAGGACCCATGCCTCCACGGGGTATGCAGTCAGACAGCAGCATGAACAATTGCTTCTGGAGAATTAGTCCAAATTAAGCCAAAATAAGGTGGAGCAGAATAGACCCAATGTCTTTTGATCAAGTATTGAGGTGAAAGGATCGTGCTGTCCAGCTTTCCCTGCTTAGACTTTCCGGAAGGAGCTGCCACTGGTCTTTGGCAACCAGTGCCAGTATAATGATTACTTAATAAGTACAGGACTTGCCTGCCGTTGCCCAAGATGGCAGGTTTCCTTCTGCAAAGCTCCCAGAGAGATGTCCTGTGCTAGTTTGTGTCAGATACAAACCCACTGTGCACAGAGGAAAAGACAGCCCACCCCACATACAAAGCAAAAAGCAAATCCCTCAGCCCTCCAGGGAACGTTTGGCAGCCAAGTCTTCACAACGCCTGTTCCAGCCAAACTTACTGAAACTGGTTATTGGTGCGGAGAGCTCTCAGTTTAGTAGATCACAGAAAGTTTTGTAAGCTGTTCGTTATAGAATGCACTAATTGAATGGCTCTTAAATGACTACTGGGATTAATTTACAGTGTTTTGCTTATTTTTGCTTATGCAGCCCACCAGTTTTTCTTTTTTCCCTACAAGGAAGAGATTATGTCTGTGAACCCTACGTGTCTGGTTGTGATTATCCTCCTTTTCATAAGTATCATTTTGGCTTTTAAGGTAAGTGCATTACTGTGCATAAAGCCTACTTCTGGTCATGGGTGGAATGTCCCTTGCTGGGAGGCCTGGGTGACCACCTGAAAAAGGGATCTTGTAGCTATAATAGACCAACCTATGAAAATATTAGCTTACGGCTCAGTTCTGGTCAGACAAGTAAATCAAATGCTAAGAATATTAAGAAAGGAATAGAAAAAACAGAAATCGAAAGATTTCTTTGCCAGTTTTGATGCCTACCTCCTCTGGAAGCATGCATTCACTTCTGGTGCCCTGTCTCACAAAGGATGTTGTAGACAGGTAAATAGATCCAAACAATCCCTCTTGGGAGGGACAGCGTAAAGGACTCACACCAGGCAGCGAAAGGGCACAGGGAGTGATAATTTATTTGCTGTTATGCAAACCTCATGGGTGAGAGGGCTGGAGGTGGCAGGTACCAGGCGAAGGGGAGATGTAGCATCCTCCAGCGCAGTGGGAAAGGGCTCGTGTGAAACCACCGCACCCAGGTTTGTGGTCCAGCAAGGTCAGCCCACACCTGCTGTGCAGGGCAGAAGTCCAAAAGGAGCTCAGAATAAGATGAGACAAATCAATATATGAAAAACAGCCACCTGTGGCTCAACTAGTCCCCTCAGCCTTGGACCTCTTGGAAAGTATGCCGGTATGTTTGCCACCTTCTTGCACCCTTCTGCAAGTTTCTCACAGCTGCTGCCATTCTTGTATTTCTCATGTTGCATTTTATTTCAGAATAGTTCTTGCTCTTTCTCTGCAGAGCAATTACGCATTAGATTAGAGAAGTCCCAAAGAGCCACAGTGACACCAGGGATGTTGCTTCCAGACAATGCATTTGACAGCATGAACAGGGAAAGTTATTGTGACAAAAGAGGTAGATTAGATTATTGAAGCGCCTTCAAAATTAAAAAAACCCAAACAGATAGGGTATTTTAAGGTGCTGTTGGAAGTGATATTCACTTTTGCTCTGTGATTTAGAAATACAGTTTAGCCTTCTGGCTTACTATGTTCATAGCCATATAGTTGATTTTCTTTGCAGCTTTAAGAAATTATATATGAATGCAATAAATACGTAGATTTTTCAGGTGCCACAAGGGATGTGCTCTTTAAATTTCTCAGATGCAAACATTAGCTCATTTTTACCCCAGGTGGGTCTACTAGTTCATTGACCAAGTATGGCAAGGAAGTCTCAAGCTTATTAAAAAAAACACAACTAGAATTGGAGTGGCAAAAATACTTACTACAGAAAAAAGAAACCTAAGAAATTAATAGTGCAAAAGGCTTCTTTTATTTTGAAGTGGCTAACACATGTTTTTTCCAAGGGTATATGCGCTCATATAATGCTCATTCTAGCAACCTGTTATCATGCAAATGAGTCACAAAAAGTATGACTCACACAGAAACACATGCTAAATTCCAGTTAGCATTTTCATTTTAATTTCTTGTGTTTCCAGAAGAGCTGCTATGCAGATTTATGGAATCTGCACCATGAAAAGAAAGCTGGACGCTATCAGATGCATCACACTTTATCACTGATAGACTTAACAGATGGTACCATGTTTATATACTGAAACTGAAAAGGTACTGTGCATAAAAATATGCCTGAGCTCCCTCTCTCTCTGAAGTTTGGCTAGAAATAGGGAGAGAAACCAAAACATTGTAACCTAGGAAAAGCTACAGTAGGAAAAGCTGCATTCAGCTGGTGGGAAATATGAAACAGAATCACATAATTCCTCAGAAACATTTGGCATCATGACAATTTTGGTTTGGGTGAAGCTACATGCAAAGGAAAACACTGTTGAGCAGAAATCGACATATAGCAGTATTGGATGGTGGTTTTGTGCTCTGCAGTCACGGGATTGTGAAAAGGGAAGGGGGACAAGAGAGCGTAGTAAGAAAGTGAGCCAGCTAACCACACACAAGCACTTGTCTTTTTAGTCCTTAGGATTTACTTGGATCTGAAGCAGCTAATGGGTATTTCAGGCGGTTTCACACAGAATCTTTTTGAGAGTAGACCAAAAAGTGTTATTCCATTTACTGTGTTTGTCTAGAAACTGAACCAGAGTTACATACCATGAAATATAGGTGTTTCCTAGCTGGCTGAGGAAGGACATCCAGCAGCACAAATGTATTTATATACATGTACACAGGACTTCAAATGGCATATAGCCAGCACAATGGCTTTTGAATTGCACCCTCTGCTGCAGCTGGTTTGGGGAACAGGGCCTCTGTTTCCTCATCAGCTGCTGAGACAGAACAGTTGAGGCTTCAACCTCCCCCTCCCCACCGTGGGAGAAGCCTCCCAGACCCAAATGAGCTAGGCTCGGGTGAGCACAAACACAACCAGAATAAACCTTTGCCCTGGGCTGCACTGAGAACTCTGCAACTGCAGGGTACAGCCTCTTCTTCTCTTCTTTTTTGGGCTTTCTTTTTCTGGAATGGAGGTAGGAAGAGGTAGTTGCCAGTGGGGCAACCAAAAGGTATTCCAGTTCAAAGAGACAGACTGGTCTGCAGCAAACTGAATATTAACCCTGGTCTCCATAATATGCCTAAAACCTGCATGTACAAGGTGTTGAGCCTAGAGATGAAACCACTCTCCATGTCCTGGTCTCCTCAGCAGATGGGAAAGGGTGATGCAGAACAAAGCTCTGTGCTCACCCTGAGAGATTTCGTGTCTCAGCCCAGGGGGATGCCTCCTGGCAGGGGGAACCCTGACCTGCAGGGTGGACATCGCCCCGGTGTCCACTGCCTTCCCGCAGGGACAATGGAGCAGCAGCCGGGACCATGAACACAGCCCCAGAAGCCAAGCCCTGATCCCTGCTCCAGGAGTGGTCAACACAGAGCCAGGATGTTGCCACCTGTTCCACAAAAGCCTGGGACGGGTCCCAGAACTGGGCTTGCTGGTGGCAGAATACTTACAGGAGAAGCATCTCCAAAGCAGGGGTCATTTGCTTTAAGTTGCATACCCCGGTATGTGTGACTGTGAGCCAGCAGATGGTGGCCTGGCCTGTATAAGGTGCCATTTAAAGTGTTGCAGGCCAGTGGTTTGGTTTGACATCTTTAATTCTTTTCAATCACAGCATTTCTTCGCAGTTATAAGAAGTGGTTCTTGTGCAGCTGCCTTATACTCCCAAGATACACATTCTAGTGTGCTGAGAAGATGGATTTAATTGCAGATTTCGTCAGCACAGCAACTTGTTGTTTCTCCTCCTGCAGCATCAAAATGTGCAATACACGTGGCCAATTGGTCTGCCATTAGCATCCTTCTGAAATCTTCATATAAATTTCAGTTTGTGTAGAAATCATTATCTTTTTTTCACCAGCTACTGAAGACCAGCCCAGCTCTGTAAAGAGAAAAATCAAAGCAGCTGGAGAATAAAATGGGACTCAGAGCAGACAGCTCCTAACCCGTGGGGGCTCAGTTGGGTCTGCGGCATTCACCCTGCACTTGCTGCAGGCGAAGGAGCTGCCCAGAGGGCTGCTGTGACCCCGACTTTTCCTTGCTGTGTTACAAGAAACAGCAGGATACAGCAACCTCTAGTTTCCACAAAGATGCTGGTCGGTCAGCTGGTCGGGCATGTGATGGGCAGAAGTCATCCATTACATTACTGTTGTTATGATGCTTAACGAATGCATATGCAGTAACAACGGCAAGAGGCAAGGTTATAAAGTTTTGTGGGTTTCAGTTCCGTAGGGGCTCAAGGCATTTCCCGCCATTCAAAGAGGAAGACTGAAAGCTGGCAGAAGTAGGCACAGTGCCTGTTCCCACATTTAGCCCTTCTTGCGCACCCATCCTTTCACGTGGTGGCTACTGGGGGCTGCCCCCCCAAAAATTGTCTGTCAGCACCCCATGCTGTGGTATGCGGGAATACTGCTAAGGGTGGATGAGGCTGAAGTGACTTAATGCCTTTTACATAGGGCCTGTTCCAAATGTGAACATTGGTCTCCTGAGAGAAAAATTGATATATTTGTATACTGTGTGTCCAGCCGTACATTTTAAAGCAATATTTCAAACCTCAGCCAAGTTTTTCAGGAAAAAAACTGGTAACTGAATCAGCAATCCTATTTAATGCTAGTGCAATATCTGTAGAGAGCAACAATTAGGAACAAGTTTAAAGAAGAAGTTACAGGTTGAGGAAAATGAGTTTCCATGACTCACAATTCACAGGCACAGGACATGCTCCGAGCTGCCACCGCTTTCAGCCGTATGTGGGTCAGTGTCTCGGGGCCAATTACTTGGTGTGTGCTGGCTGATGACCTCTTTAATTCAAGGGCTGCAATGGACCTCACCCACTGAGAAACAGCCCATGCATGCAGGAGCAGGGCTGATTAGAGCTAGGGCTCAGAGCTGGAAGAGCTGTAGGGGTTCATTGAGGGGTTAAATGTGTTTTATTCACTGCATGTAATGGAATGGGAGCATTCAAAAATAAACCTCCCGGTAGCTTCTCCCAGATAAGACTGTATTATCTGAAATGGGGCTTCCCTCAGTGTGGACTTTGACAGAAGGAGTATAGAAATTGGTTTGCAAATAGCTAGGCTTAATGTAAAGGGTTTCTTATAAAGAAAGGCCATGTCCCCACAGAAGTGCACCATATTCAGTCTCTATTCTGTACTAGCTCTTATATATTTCTCAGTGCATAGTATCTGAGCATTGACAGCTACTGAACTACTTATTACTATTTATAATTAACAATGGCATTTTGTTTAATTCTGGAAAATCTGCAGTTCTCCATGTATGTGCCTTTATTCCACTTGTTTCAGTAGCCTGGGGCAGGTTTGCATAGCCCACAGCTTGGTCTGTAGAGCCAGCCTAACCTTCCCCTGGGACTCAGCTCACTCCAAAAGCCTTTTTTTCTGCCCATTTGATGGTCGAAAGTATTGTCAAAGTCTGCGACACCTCCAAGTCATCCGAGGTCTGTAAGATGCGATAAAGAAAAGGAAGCAAACTTACTGGATTTCAGCCAGCTTAGCCCTGGTGGAAAAAAACTCTTCCTGATCTGCAAGCGAGCCATCAGTGAGCCACGTGGCATCCGAAAAACACAGCTTATGTGTGACAGCTCTGGAGAGGGAGCAAGCAAAGGGCAGCTTAAAAGGATAAGAGGCTTCTGGAAGGTCATCAGTGCAAGTGAGTCACAAAAATATGACTCACTCAGAGTTAGACACACATGCAAATCCAATCAGCGCTGGCAGTTTAATTTGCACGCGCTAGGTTTGTGAAAGAATTGCTGTGCAGAGCCTACTAAGTAAAAATATAAGTTGGGCACTATCAAAACACATCGTTCTCCTCATCACTGTCGTGTGTGAATGCATGGGAAGCAGAAAACTCCAGAGGGAACTGCTTGGTCCCACCAGCCTTGTCCCTGGCATGCTGAGGATCTGACTCCTGCTCCTTCACATGTATTACTGCCTTCCTTCCAGTGATTTTGCTCATCTCTGCTGGCCGAACTGGAATCTCTCCTGCTGGTGAAGGAGATGATGGATGTGAGCACTTTGCCCAACCGTCTCAAAAAGAAGTGGAGACAGCTAGTTGTTTGCCAGGCAGCAGCCCTACCCAGATCTTGTGGTAGGATTATTGCTGCAATAACAGTATTTTTGCTTTTTGCTTTATACTGAAAAAAAATAAAGTATTTGTAATAATGGTTAAAAGGTCAGAAATAATTTCAGATTTCAACAAAAACGTTTACACTGGCAATTTTCTCTAGTCAGGCAAGAGTAGGAAGACACCAGACCATCCCAGTCATATGGAATACATTGGTTTAATGTAAGATTAAGTGAAACAGCATATTGAAACAATGCAGGTGATATATAGGATCATCACATAGTCATTGGCCAGCCTTCTACTCACAAGACAAGGAGGTTTGCTTGATAATTCTTCAGTCCCCAGCATGCTTGTGCTTTTTTTACTGGAGTTTTCTTCCACTTTCTAATACCACTAACCTCCACTTGATGATATTTGAACATCCTTACCATGGAGGAATCCAAAACTCGTTTCTGTTTACTTTTTGCTGCTGTCCCTGAGACATATCTGCAGCACCTTCTCTTTTTTGTCGCAGTCTAACTTGTACCTTCATTTTGTGTTGTAAAACTCAACCCTGCTGGTATGTAGTATCCCATGCACAGTAATGAGGTGTTGGACTGAACTCATATCTCTCCGTGTTTCTAGAGAGGTGTAAGAAAGCAAGCCAGCATATGTGACCTGCTCATTTAAGTAAAATGGAACTTATATACAGAAAATTATGTTACTTTAGCTATATTCAGGCCCAAATATTGTTCCTTTCAAAACAATTAGTCTACATTAAGTGTGCTGTAATATTAAATATCTGGAATAGTAAACTTCATTCAGATAGGTCTAGATTGCAGTTATCTCTGCCTAGATGGAGCGGCTCATAGTGCAACACAAGTATCCACAGTCACAGAACCATGTAATCACAGCATTTAAAGACCATCTCGTTCCAACCCCCCTGCCATAGGCAGAGATACCTTCCACCAGACTAGGTTGCTCAGAGCCCCATCCAACCTGGCCTTGAACACTTCCAGGGATGGGGCATCCACAGCTTCTCTGGGCAACCTGTGCCAGTGCCTCACCACCCTCATCGTAAAAAGTTTCTTCCTTACGTCCGATGTAAATTTATCCTCTTTCAGTTTAAAACTGTTGCCCCTTGTCCTGTCGCTATAGACCTTGGTAAAAAGTCTCTCTCTGTCTTTCTTATAAGCCCCCTTTATATATTGGAAGGCCACTGTAAGGTTTCCCCAGAGCCTTCTCTTCTCAAGACTGAACAACCCCAACTCTCTCAGTACCAGGAATTGGATTACTGAACTCTGGATTACTCACAGAGCCCCTACAGATAGTTACAGTCACTGCAACCAGCAAAGCAACTGTCCCGTGTTTCTATCAGGCTCATGTTCTTATATAAATAAGAATAGAAATACTCTAGCAGAAAAATTTATATGGTTTATTTTCTGCACAGAATAATAAATCCCTTTTCTTTGCAGGGTTACTTGATAAGCTGCGTGTGGAACTGTTACCGATACATTAATGGCAGAAACAACTCGGATGTGTTGGTGTACATTACCACCAATGACACTGCGGTAAGGATGTTAGATCGCAAACATTTGTCTAATATTATGCATTTAATAGCTTTATTTTATATTAATTTCTGACTCCTTAGTTAACCATCTTAATTTCTTTGAGAGTCCTCATCTGTTGGTTATGTGTAGACTTGAGATTCAACAGACTAGTGTGCTATGGTTACAAATCACATCTATTGCTAATCTATCTATACTGGTTTTATTTTATGCATAGAATCTGTGTTAAACATAAACTACAGCTCACCTCATGGCCCCAGGAATGAGCCCCAATCCTGAGCTCTCCAGCTGTGTGATGATCTGGACAGTGAGGGGACTTATTAGGATCCAGGGATACCATGGTCTACACCTGCTGTGAAATGTGGATTTAGCTGTAGAAACTGTGATTTAGGACACTCAATATCTGGTGTAGTGCTTTACACACTCACAGAGAGGAGCTAAAAGGCAACAAAAGTTCAATGATTCATCTCCCAGCGCATGATGGGTTTTGTGTAGTGAGGAGACAGAATGAAACAAAAATCGACATGAAAGAAATTAATAAACAGATTTTAACCTCAAAGAATGGAAGGTGTCAGTTTTCTTTATAGTGCTTCAGTGCTGACATGAATATGTGCAGGGCACGACTGCAAAGCAATATCTTGCTTGTTGCAGAAAGCACTGAAGGAATACAAGAAGAAAGAGTCCCTGGAAAGAGCCATCTCTGTTTGCAGCGCTGTCTCTGTGGAGCTGCTTGGTTCCACCCAAACTACACACTGAGGGCACGGTGCCAAATCAGCCCCTGGGGTGACTCCACTGGCTCATGTAACGAAGGTCTTTACATCATTTACATGAGAGTGGGAACTTGGTCCTTTGGATCATCTGGGTAAAATTTCAGGATTGCCTTCCTCAGTTTTTCCTCATCGTGGGTGGTCTCCACGAGCTGAGGTATTAGACCATCAAATTTAAACCACTGGAATGAGTGATCTCTGTGCAGCCGCAAGAGCTTAGAAAACTATTGCTATTTTTACATGAAAGTTGTAACTCTTGCATGGTTATTTGTCTTCAATACTTGGAGCTTTAAGAAAAGCATAAGAAGTTTTATGGAGTATGATCAGAGCTGGCAACCAAGATATTTAAGTATAAAAATGTAGGTTTATTGAAAGCTAAAAAGTATTACTATGTTCTTTACTGGAATCTACTTTGAGCAAAACCAGGAGTTTTATGTGAAATAATTCTGATGGCTCTTTTGTTCAGCCTGTGGGTAGTTGTAACTCAGCTTTAAACATTGGTAACTCTCCAACCCACACAACGGGCAGGCTTGGTGGTGGGAGAGTGTCAGCTGGATTATCTGGGAAACTAAACTTACCAAGGCATTTTAAAAGCTACATTGAAACCCCCTGCTCCACCGCTGCCTTTACAAAGCAAAGGACTTTGGTTTTCAGAGGTGCCTTGTTACCAAAACTCCTCTTGGTACTTTTGTGTTTAGTAATTACCAAAGTGCTCTGAGGTGCCTCCTCGTCTTTAAAGCATTTGTGTTTCTGTGAGGAAAGGAAGCCCTTTTGTCCCATTTACAGATGACATATTCTTGCACTGAGAGCATAATTTAGCTTTGCTTATCTTGATCTTACAAGACAGCTACAGCAGAGACAGGTTTTGGGAAAGGCTGTACATGCCTAACTAGTGCCCTGACCACTGGACTCTTCTTTGTTCTTCAATATTTACACCTCCTTAATTTGAATATGGTCAGAATCTCTTGCTTTCAGGTACAATGCATTTGTTTTTCATTCTTTCTAATTAACTTCAATGAGATGATGTTAGATCAGGTCCTGCAGAAAGAGCTCTTTGGGAATTTATCAGCTAACCAAAAAATTCACCCAAAAATTCTTGTTCAGGAGTACAGAAAAGCTCAGGAGCAATGCTGCTGGGGAAGAGTTTCTCAGGCCCAGCCAGAGAGGCAGGAGGAGAGAAAGTCACTAACAGCCTAAGAGCCTGGGGTTTGAATTACTTACTTGGATTGGAGGCAAGCTTCATTCAAACCCATATCTGACCACTTCTCTCCAGTCAAGATGAGCTCTTTCATCCCTAGGTGCCACAGTCGGTCTCCATCTCTTGCACATCCTTCCCTGAGGAGCTCCACGGACACCCACCAGCGCAGTGCACTCAGCGATGTGATCGAGGAGCTGACGTGCTCCTGAGCAGCGTCTCTCTTTCTTCTGCTCATTGCTGAGCTTCAGCAAGGAACAACAGTTTGTAGGGTTAAATTCTTATCATTCTCCACTGTGAATCAGAAGATTATTCTTCGCTCCCTTCACCCCTCAAGTCACAGACTCAAAAAGATTTTTTGTCCCTATGGCTACATCGAGAGACATCAGCAAAAACCCCTCTTCACATGACAGTAAAAAAGTATACTCAACACAATTGGATAAAAATAGTTTTTAAATGAAGTGTGGAAGAATAGGGCTTTGAAAGTTGAGTGCTCAGGACCTGTAGGAGTTTAGGACTCTTGAAGAAACCTCATGAAATTTTGAAATGCTGTGATAGATCACTGCTGTCTGTTGAAAGATATAATATTGCCCTAACATTCAAGTGTACTTTTGTATTAAAACAATGGTTTTTCATTTTTATTGATGCTGGGAAACTTCTTTTGGCAGGGGTCCTCCATGCCAACATGCCTTTAAATTATAAACTACAAGTTTCATAAAAAATGTGGGTCAATCTCTGCCCTCTGCTTTGAAAGAAATGTGTAATTTTTAGAATCAAACCTGCTATCTGAATTCCAACAGAGCTGCAGGTCTTATCTGCAGGGCATATTCTCTTCTTCAAGGATTTTTTTTTGTTATATACTTATCATCAGCATTAGCTGAAAGAATACCAATCTGTACAAATGGAAATGAAAATCTAAGCTTAAGTATGGGACTGGGCATAATAGCTACAATTTAGCATAACAAGTTTCAAATATACCTCATTACTTCCAAAATCTGGAGATCAGATCCCAGCTGCTACTTGCTAATATCCCTTGTACAACATAGTAATTAATGCATCTCATCTACACTCTACACATAAAATTTTTTTTTAAGTTATTAGGTTTGCAAGTGCTAGACATTGTATTACAAAAAACATCTGGAATGGAGTTTATATATGGGCTAGAGTATGGCTTAGTTTATCGCCAAACTTAAAAGATCTGATTTATGTATTGGCACGGTTAGAAATTCAAAATCTTTCTGCAGTTACATAAATATTTTCAATGAAGCTAAGAAATTTATTACTACAAACATTTTATTACTGTGTCTTACTATTTTTTGGGAGAGTTGTCTTCGAAAAATATCTTAAAAATTAAATGTATACCTTATTTCTATTATAATTTGCACTTAGGGGAAAAAGAAACCTCTGCCTTCAGTAACAAATCATCAACAATTTTATCCTTGAATTCAAAATTCTGTATACCTGCAGGATTTGTACTGAAAATGGAAAAGGAATGGGTAAAACCCTGTCCTCTAGTAACTCTAATTACAGACAATTAAATAGCCATAAACAGTTGCATTGATGTTATGATTAATTGATGATTGTCATTTTTTGAAGGGAGAGCTATGTCTGTTGTAAGAGAAAGCACATCAGCTACAATGATTATTCTTATCTCTGGTCTATTAACGTCTTGGCAAAATCAAATTCTTGGATCTTCCATTGCCAGATAAATACAAATTTACTCGTAGCTTCATAAAGATAATTATTTTCCCTCTTCTAACTTTTGAACTAGGAGGTGCCTGTTTTACCTGCTCAGAACCCTTGAAAAATATATCTAAGAGTTCCAATTTAAATGGAAATATGACATTAATGACTGAACTTTTCTCGAGAAGAACAATCAAATCCTTACTAGCTGGGATGCTGTGGCATGCGAGATAGGAAGGGTCCACAGTTACTTGTTGGCTGCAGCAGCTGTGAACCCTCCTGTGATGTTTGGATTACAGGTTTCTTTCTTAGGAGAGAAGCAAACTTCTTTAATATACAGCACTAGGATTTGGTTCAAAAGAGTAAGAAGCTGTGATTGTATATAATTGGATATTGTTCTGAAAATAATAAGCAGATTATCTTTTGTTTTACTGCATTTCTTAATTTACCCCTGACAATTAGGAGGATGGATAACTCCTTAAGCACAGCCATGTGGGCCTGCTTCTTGTTTCTTGCCCCTTGACTCTTTGCATTCAGGAAGTCGTTTGTGGGTGTCCCAATTAGTTTCCCCTGGTTCTATCTGAATCAAGTCCATCATGACTCCGTAAGTTCATGCTGAGAGCGTACAGGTCTCAACAGCAGTATTCCTCCGTCATCTTCTTGGCTGGTCACATGGTGGAAATCTACTACCGATATGTCCTTCCAAGAGAGGAGCTTTTGTGTTTTCTGTCTTCATACAGGACTGCTCTGCCCACGCTGGTCACTGGCACTCTCCTCCTTCTGTCGTGCCTTCTTTCATGCTTCTCCTGAGATCCTCTCTACAGACCCCTCTCTGTTACCAGCCCCAAATTCAGTAATACTTTATTTTAAAAAATATTCAGCTGTCTCTCTGCCTTCCTACTAACTGTCTAATTTTCACATCACTAAAAGCCATGAGGAAAATTTAAGTGTGGACTGATCTGGGGGGGGGGGAAATTGCCAGCACAGAAATTTCCAGTTAGTTCCCCCTGATCAAACTGGTTCTTATCAATAATGCTCATAGATCTGAACTGTAATTAACTTGATAGCTACAGTTATCGGCTACCAGATAATCTGATTTTTGTCACTCAGTGTAAGTGGTTTAAGCCATCCTTTTTGCAAGTGTGCTGTCCAGAACAAACGGACGTCCTCCCCACTTCAGGC